GCAAAAGCCTCGTTTGCAAAGGCAGGCGAAGAGGCTTGCTCCCAAGGAAGCACCAGAGGACTGGGGCAGCGGGGAGCAATGCAACCGGACTCACTTCCAAGTAATCCGCAACGGAAACGGATAAGCAAAGACAGGTGCACAGACTCGGGCTACACGCGTCACTTGCGAACGCAGCCCTCCGCCGCACGCCCAGCCGCCCCTTACGTCATCTGGAATTATCCGCGCGGACGAATCCACTCTTTCGGAAGCGCGAGGGCGGCGGCCAATCACCCACGTCTGTGGGCGGGGCCAAAGAAATTTTTGACGGGGGCTCCCAAGCGGTACCGGGCCCGCAATACGCATGCGCGGTTCGTCGCCCCCACCCCGCCCCGGAGAGCTGGGCGGCGGCCAATCACCCACGTCTGTGGGCGGGGCCAAAGAAATTTTTGACGGGGGCTCCCAAGCGGTACCGGGCCCGCAATACGCATGCGCGGTTCGTCGCCCCCACCCCGCCCCGGAGCGCTTGCGCCGTCGCCTCCATCCGGGTCCCCTTTCCCTCTCCACGCCAGTGGGCGTGGCGCTGCCGCATCGTGCGTGAGGAGAAAGAGAGAGAGAGAGAGAGAGAGCGAGCGAGAGCAGCAGCAAGTCGCAAAATGGCCGCCGCGGCGCCCTCACCCGTCCCGTCTGCCGCCGCCCCGCCGCCCCCCTCCGCGGCGCCCACCGAGAGCAAGAAGATCACGGAGCTGCGCGTCATCGACCTCAAGTCCGAGCTGAAGCGCCGCAACCTCGACGTCGCCGGCGTCAAGACCGTCCTCATCGCCCGCCTCAAACAGGTGAGGGGGCCGCCGGGGGAAGTAGGCCCAAGATGGCGGCGGAGGGAGGGAGGAGGCCTCTCGCGCTCTTTTTCCCCCCCCCCCTCAGGCGGGCCGCCTCAGGCCTCCTCTCCCTCCCGCCCTCTCCTCGGGGTCCTTCCTGAGGTAAAAACTGGAGGCCGCGGCCCCGGCCCTCCGCCCGCGCTCCCGAGCCTCCCCCGGGGTGCGCATGCGCCGACTCTGCCCGGCCGCCTTTTCTCTCTCCCTTCCCGCGGGGGTCGAGGAGGGGCCGCCGCACGACGCGCTTCTGCCACGGGGACTCGGCGCAGAAGCGGGTTGCAAAGGGGGTGTTGCCACCTCCCGGCCGGGAGATTCCTGGCTGTTTGGGGGTGGAGCCTGGAGAGGGGCGGGGACCAGTAGGGTTCGTCCTCCGAGGCCGCCGCTTTCTCCAGCGGAACTGACTTCTGTATTCTGGAGGTGACCTGCAATTCCAGGAGATCCCCCAAGTCCCACCTGTAGACCGAGGGAGCCTCACGCAACAGAGGCTCACAGAGTCAGATATGTCCAAAATGGCTCTCTCGCATTGGGAATAGAATGGCTGCCGTGGGCAATGCCTCCCTCTAAGCCGTGGAGTCCTGTGAGCAAAAAATTCTACTTTGTGAGCTGCTGGGCGTTGAAGTTGGGAGCGAGCGGTTTGGCTACTGCATAAATTAGTCTGGTCCGGAGCCGTCCTTTCCTGAGCGAAGACGAAAATGTGTGAGCAGGAGGCTAAAAAACTGAACTAGGTCACACTAACTCAGCTCAGAGGGAACACTGGCCATGGGTATCCCACCGGATTCCCTCTTCATGCTCCCAATTATAGCTGCTTTTCAGAGTCCTGATACACAAATCTGTGCCTGCGTGCTCCTGTTGCCAAATTGGAAACACACACAGTTGGAGTCCAAGGAGTTAGATTAATATCTGTTTATTGCAGTGGAAACAGGGAATTCAAGGGCTGACAGCCTTGGCACTTCAGCCATTCCAAAGCTGTCTTCTGCCATAACCAGGGAGGGCAGTAGGTCTTATACCCCAAATGACACAACATTTAGTTTACACATTAAAGAATCTCTAATTGGTACCAGGTAGTTAACATCATAGAAGCATCATTTGACTTTAAATCTTACTATTGGTCATGTATGTCAGGGATTGCATGTGCTTGTCTGCTCTTCAGAGCAATGGGAACACTGACATCCTTTCTGACCTTAGTGAAGCTAATCCCTCTTTC